TACAGTCTTAGTGAGGTGAAGATTCGTGTCTAAATTTACATTTGTAGCTCCAGTTCTGTCATACTGCCTCATCTTAACCATTTTCATTTCTCTCCCTTTTCTCACTTACTAAGAGACACAATACTCTGGCCTTCTACGATGCCCTGTACATATATGCAATCATTTTTAATTATATTGGAGCTGTTAAGTTCACCTATGTTCAGCCGATCCCATTCACTTTTTTGAGCCATTTAATTCTTATTTAAATAAGTTTAATATAAATTATTTTTAAGTGTGCTGCGCACAGAATGATCCGTAAATTTTCCGTGATTGTGCATTCTGTAAAGCAATGAGTATTTTCAGGGTGTAGTGAGAGCAGTGATCTGTTGCGGTGACATGTGCACAGTGGTGCCCGATTCCGGTGAACTAGAAATGGAAACAGTTGAAGGCTCCAAAATGGAAGTGAAGATTCATTTTGCCGGTGAAGTGGCGCAGCTTTTTCGAGCTGATCTTGAAACGGACAGTGTTTGTTTTCGTTTCAGAGCTTATTTTACCTGAGTTATACTTATTTCTTTGAATCCTTGTCCCTCGCACTGCTTTTTTGGGCTCCTATGTTCCCAGGAAGTACCGCTGAGCTTTCTGTCAATAGTTATCATTATGCAATATCATTATTTCTGTTGGATCCGTCTTGTTAACCAAATTTTATAAATAAAGCAAAATGCAAACCAATGGCACAATAACAACGGGAACAGTACTGAATAACAATAAAAATTTGGCCAATAAAATGCACCCTTGAAATATCGGGAGCTTGGCCTCTAGCTCATAATTCAGCTTCGCTATGCGATGCACAACCGTTGGTTTCAAATTTACGCCGTGGCATCATCCTTATGCACCGAAAATGGTGTCTCTAGTTCGATATGTTCAGCATGCATGATGATTACATCCTTTTCTGGCCGATCACCGGGCTTGCTTGTTGGCGTATTTTCGATCTGCCTTACTACTTTCATCCCCTCGAGCACCTGAAATTGCCGTCGATAAGAAGCAGCTATGACCAGCCTCCTAGCCAGGAGACTGGTCATAGCTGCTTCTTATGTTTATATTTCTAAAATTTCTGTAACACAAAGATAAGATTGATGAACATGCCTTGCCGAACACGACGTGCTTCCCATCGAGCCACTGAGTTTGCTTGGTGGTGATGAAGAATTGAGAGGCATTAGTGTCCGGCCCAGCATTCGCCATACTAAGCCATCCGGCTCCATAATGCTTAATTTTAAAATTTTCATCCGCAAATTTATCGCCATAAATCGATTTGCCGCCTGTGCCATCACCCTGAAATACGAACACGACAAACGGGGTTTTACTAAAGAAACTAACAATTTTCTCTGTTTTTTTTTTTTTTTACTTTTGCCTCTTTGTTCAAACGTAGCGTTTTCAGACTTTTAGCGCTAAAT